GTAAATATGTTAAAAACCAAAGAAAGGACGAAAGCTTAAGAAAGCTGTTGTGATCTACCGCAGTGTGCGCGATTCCGATTTAACTAAATCGTTCTCTGCTAGCTCCGAATCCTGGCCGGAAAACAAAAACCTTGGAGATAAAAGCGTATTGCAGAACTAGCTACCGAAACAAAAACAAGTAGTATGAAATTAACAGACATTTTTATAAGTCTATCAAGAAAGATTCACGGATCAGAACAACTAGGTCAGCTGTCCTGACCGGTATATCAGTTCCGCTGGCCAATGGGAAGGCTTGTGCGCTCTTCGTATGGATACGAACGTTCCTGAAGCGAACGATCCTGAAAGCATTTGAGGTTTCGGTTGTACATCATTGGCTTAGCTTGTTTTCCCATCAAAACAATGAGTTCTGGGAGACTTACTACTTGTTCCGCATTTTCAGTGTTTAGCGAGAACGAACAGAAAAAGCAACATAGTACAATGTTTTAAAAGCCAAAAAGGAGGAAATGTTTTGAAAACAAGAGGCTTTCCTTTGTATCCCCTTATCGCACTCGGGAACTTCCGTCGCTCTTCGCTTGCTCCGGTCACTTGCGTTTGACGTAAAGCATTTTGCTTCCCTTTCATATCACCGATCCTCCAAGGTTCAAACATTACCACACATTACGTACTTAAACACTGTGATCGAACACTATGTCATACTCTTTTTCGGCACATTTAGGAAGGCGACAGTTGCAGCCCACTAAAGTCCGTTCGCTTTGGTGCTCACTCAACGTCTGCATCAGCTCTCACCACCTGCTGACGCAGAAGGCTGACCGGCGACCGACGGTCGTCAGGTAGATCGAAGGATCACTCACAGTTCCCTTCTAGAAGAGGGGCTGTGTAATGCTCTGGAGATCTCACCGTACGATTGTCGTTTCATTTGTAACCAGCATAATTAGGCGGTTTGTCTGTCACATGTTGACAACTTTTGTTTATATTCATGCTACGCAACCAAAGGGTTGGTTGATTGCACAAATCTAGCGTTCGACCATCGATTGAGTTATACATGAACTCCGCATCCAAACATGATTGTGTCCCAACAAACCTAACGGAATCTTTTAGGCAGTGTGTGTGGACAGGAGCGTGCAAACAGGGCCTAAGAGTTTCGCCAACCATCGAGTAACCATCTGGCAGAGCGGTCTGTCTATCCGCATAATCGGACGCCGCATGTTGCTTGTTTTGTGCAACTTGGGCGTGATCCTTATTTTTGGTGTCTCTGTGTCCGCCGTTTTCAGTTTCCAATATGGTGATTCAAAGATATGTCGCTGGAGCAAAAGAATTCGTAATTTGCTTGCGATATGCTTGTCCACTGAGGCAATTGTAGCCCCGTGTCGTGTCAAGCTGAAAATTGCAACCGTCTCAGAGATTAGTTTCCATTTTTGTGCTACAATCAGATTTGTTAGTAATAACAATAGGCGACTTGCAAAGCGGTTCAGAATCTCATGCGACACTGGTACATCTGAAGGACTCACTCCCAGTAGGTGGAATGAATGTCTGTTTGCAAGATATTCTGCAAACCATACCAGAGCACCTGCTCCTACGGGCTCGGAAGACAGAAATTATGTGAGCACGAATACAGTAAACGGAAATTGATTAGTTATTCTGTAAATTATCATATTGTACGGCGGCGGAAGCCACCGACTACCTTGGAACTGGAAAAACAACAAAAACGGGATAGTAAGGAATTATAAACGAGCGCACTGGATGAGACGAAACAACGCAGTGCGAGTCTTGCGGATCGAGTCGAGAGCGGATCACGAGCGACGTCTGATACTGAGTCTGGGCCCCTAACAACGGAGGAGGCACCTGTCGAGAACGCAGTGACTCAGATAAAGACGCCGCTAGCAAAGCCCACAGGACTGAACGCGGCCCGAGTGATGCAGTAACGGGAATGCAAATCGCGAGCTTTCAAACGACTCCTGGCTGGCCAGAATCGGATATGGCGATGCGGAGATACAGGATGAAACCATGGAGGGACTGTTACAAAGTTCAAGCTCTTAGGCAGATTGAATGGCCCATCATACAACTCCTCATTCGCGTTGCGTCTTGGGAAGGAAACACGGTCCATAACTGTACGGGTTTGTGAGTCGTCAGTTGCACATTGTTGTGTCAATACACGCTCTTCCCTCCCCTCCTGCGTCATTCCCGCTACACTATTCGTTTGTCCTAAATGTTCAACGTCGAATACTGAACCAGAGATGCCATCGGGTTGAGGACTATAAGATGCAATGCGAAAATCTTTGACCTATTGCTCACAAATTTCCGCTGCGGTTTTTGGTCTACAAAGTTTAGTTGAGAGGTAGATCTAAGCCCATTTCACACTTTCTATTAGGCTTGGCGGGTGTACAAGAGCCTGGTCTACGACCCGCAAAACCACGGCAACATCCAAAACAGTGAGATTTCATAAATCAACTAAGGTAGAACTATGCATAGTAGCCCCGCCGACTCAGCTTAGTGACCTGCTGACCATCCCAGACGATATTACCAGCTTAAGATCATAATTTCGTCAATTGATAGCTATCAGTGCTCAGCGCACTAGAACCTATAACTACCTTAATGAAAATGACGACGAGTCCTAGAGCCGAGCAATTGTAACCCGCAAGTGCGCTTTTCGACTCGATCGCCGCAGAAGTAGTTAGTAGGATGCGCCGCTCTAACAACGCAGTGGCCTTTCGTGCCCTGGATAATATTCCTCACGATGCCTTACGGAATATCCTACTTAAGGCTGGAAATATGGTTGGCACAGATTGCGGCTGCATAAGGCCTAATAAAAAAGTTCAATGCAACTCGTGTCCAATCTTATTCAAATTCCACAGTTCATTAACAGCCAGTGAATCTATAAACAAAAGGGAACGAATTGCTGACAACACTACTTTCAAAACCCTGAGAATAATTGCTGATAGAACGCCCTTACAAAGGATAAGGTGCACAGACAGTCTGACTCTATTCAAGGAGGCGACACAATGCGCCCCAGTGTTTCCTCATCTACGACATCTACTGGGGTCATCATTTGAAACTGACAATACAGTATAGCCGGCTTGAATGCCGTAGAAATTTCTTTTCCCTCTGCTTGTGCAAGCCCTGGAACGCTCTCCCTAATTATGTCGTCCCCGCTCCCAATCTGGCGACATTAGAAAACGAGTTGACGATGCAGTCTCATTTGCATTTCATTTTGTAACTTAGTAGCCACGTGGCTACAAAACGCAATCCAACGGTGTCTTACCAAACTCCCAACCAATGGATTTTGACTTTTAAGACGCGAACATCAGCGCTATTCTACATAAGTCCACGGTGAGTGCACCAAAACGCTTGTAAGTTTATCGTATAATTTTAGTTTCGCAATAATTTCCATCGTACGGGACTTGTTCAGCTTTGCATTTTTGCCCACAATACACCATTTTTACATTGTTACATTTAATCTGGGTACAGTGGGAGTGGCCGTCTATGTTTTCGGTCACTTTTGGCAGCAACCAAGTTCCAACAAACACTGGCATCAAAGCCCTACTGAATTTTCGGAACCGTTTGGAGAGTGGACGAGGCTCTGGATGTGCTCATTGCAATCGGACTGACGGTGGTTGTTTCAGGCAAATTCCAGCAACTGGTGGCATGGACGTCTAAAACCACAGGTGGTGCATTTTTAACGCACTGTTTAGCCTTCTTCCTCAGTTTTAATGCGGTGGTGGATGGGAATGGCTGGGATTTACTCTCTGTCACGCTTTCTACAAATGAATCGATTTTTGTGCTCTTCATTTGTTCAAACATTGCCACTAGTCTTTCTCACTTCTGCGATAGTTCACGCACAATCTTTACCAGTGGGATGACTATACCTACTAAACAGAACCACAGTGAATCTGGTTTATTATTGTGTGGCTTCAACTTGTTCACTGTGAGCTTAGAACATTGGCGATGGAACTTGCCTTGGCAACTGCTACATTGAATACCGATGGGTAGATTTTTATGGCATGATGGAAGGCCACAAACTACTGTCAATCTGGATGCGGTAACACAGGCCTGTGATTGGTCGCCACGATCGTCGAATTGTCTGCCTGTTCTAGGTCGCCGCGTTCTGTGCGTCTGACCGGAGCAAGTTTAATCGGCTAGATCGTTCACACGGCAAACAGAGCTACTGAGTGATACAGACATAAAGTATACGATAGCTACTTTGATGTTCGGTCCAAAGCTGTGGTTGCTGACTCGTCGGATAAAACGCGTAGTTGGCTTTTATTTGAGACCACAAATATTTCTGTGGGGTTTGTGATTCGAAAAATTCCTAAATTGGTGTTTTTTGGGAATGGTGTGAAATCCGCAATGTGGAAATACTATGCGATTCACGCAAGCTAGCTCTGAAAAATGGAGTGCACTAGATAGCGCTGATGAAACCGGATCGAGTGTAGGTTAACACACGTTTGTGTGACCAAATTCAGCTGAGAAAGATGACAAAAGAACGTGTTAACAGATGAGCGATTAGTCCGCAGTTTCATTCAAAGTCCCAACCCACAGGTGGCAAAAAGCGTGACTGGGGCTTTTCAAGATCTGGTACGCCAGAATGAGGACACCTCGTAGACGGTGATAAGTTCCGCAGTATATGACATAGAGAAATACAACTCCATGTATGTCCGAACACGAGCTTATCGTTCGCCAATTATTCCTCATCTAGCGCGACTTTGCTGAACCCTAACATAGTCTTCTGAGATTTAACCGACCATTTTACGCTATGATGGAATTGGGTTTTCCATTTATTTACCGACCTTTTTGAACTGCATCTATATCATGCTACATCGTAGAAAGTGTGTGTGTCACAGATGAATATTCACTCGCTATGGGTGCATAAAGCACATTCTTGACTTGATTTGACTTGAATTCTTCGGAACAATATGGTGTTTGAATCTTTGTCTGTAGAAGGACCAAGTGTAGTCTATACGTTCCTTTAGGTATTTTACAACTGTTTTGTTTTTCTGCAGGAAATGCACCCCTCCCTGACCACCATCGCAGACGCATTACTGGCAAATTCACCATGTTCTAAGGAAAACAGGGATCACATTGATCGGCTTTCTAATCCGCAGCAAACTTCAATGCAACATGCTTTATTCACCTGTCACCAAATGAACGTGAAGCTGCCCTTGAAGCAGCTGGACGAAAAGCGACACGAGTTGAGGACGCATTTCGTGCAACGACGTCCTCAGTGCGCGAATGATGTTACTGCATACAACCTACTGCTCCGCTCACACCCAGTCCATAGCCTTTTGCCCAGTGAATTGGCTTCCTCAATGGACAGTACTGAAGCCGCAAAACGTTGCCATTTTTGTCTCAAAGTAAGTCAGCAAATGACAAGAGGACAGGTCTGAAAATTTACGGACTTCATATTGTACAGGCTCTAAGGTAATCGAAGGATGTCGTATCATACTCAATATTTCCTCGGGTGCGAATTGTCTACACTTTTACATGCGAATCACTATTCACTTGGCCACATATCTGACCGTGACGGTGAAAGTAGATCAAATCAAGGGGCAACGCAGTGAAGCTAAGTGTCTCCTGTTGTCTACTGATGTTATCCAATATTAGCACCAGATTGCTTGCAAATCACTTATTAAGTTGCTTGAGAAAATAGACCTTGACAAGAGAGTGATGAACCAGAGGTTTGCGCTGGTATGTTCGAGAAGCCATGTGCTGCAACTCAATCAGTGGTTTGAATACAACGTAGAAAGCGCATTCAACGCTATAGCATTGGGACATGTTGCCGTACTCGAACAACGGCTGCGAACTGTAGCATTGGGTGCTTCATGCGCTTATGAAATGTGAATACCAAGGTATAGCACACATCTCACGGACAGGGATAACTAAGGTATCAAAATATTACATCGGATAGGTGTAACCCAGCAGTCCATAAAAAGTTGACATCTAACTTTAGCTAACCTTGGGAGTCATTTATTGATTGATTAAATTTTGACCCTTCAAAAATGTCTGACTAGTCGGTGGATTGTGAGATTAATTAACCTGTTTCGTGGTTGCCAGAATTGGTGCTAGGTTGGAATGTTATTGTGTATACCTGTAACTCGGGATGTGAGTGAGAACGTTGTCCGGTTCTTCCAACTGGGGATTTTTGTTGCACATGCCTCGTTGCCAAGCTAGGAAACATCTTCAGTGCACCTATCAAGGTCTGATTCGTAGAGCCATAAGACACTGCCGGGTCCCAGTGACTACTAATTGTTTACCGCTTTGAATGTCAGCCTTCGGCTTGCTCATGACGGTCGGCAAAGTGACCACGTCTTCTCCCTGTCGATCTGGTGCTCATTGTTGACTTAACCGGCGGAGCTTCGCAGACACCCTCTAGATCCAGGTGGTCGTTGACTGAGTTCTGGCACGAACGCCAGGCCACTATGAACTCACGCGCCCTGCGGTTCCTTGCTCTCCTAAGTATCTTGACGTTCTCCTAATCGAACTGATTATCATTGGCGTCAGTATATACTGACATTAGCGATTTCAAACCACTAACGGCGGATGACCAGAGTGTGTTCGTGCAGTCTGTGCCAAGTATCTATCCTGTTTGGCTCACGTAGTATTTACCACAGTGTTTGCAGGAAACCTGTAAATCATACTGTTACACTCAACCGAAATCAGAACAACAGTATTGCAAATGGAAGTTTAGTAGACGCAATGGCAATGGTACATCGGCAGTCCACACTGGGTACAGAGCAACTGTTTAGTTTTACGCAGTTCACATGTTTTAGCTAAGCACTCGCTTTTGAGCCAATCAATAAGCATCGCTGGTTAGTCGGGAGATGGACACTCACGCACTAGCGCGCACAATGCAGCTCCACAGGTTAGGTAGTGTAGCGTGATCTTGACGCGCTCAACGTCTGTATCACATACCAGTTGTTTGTTCTTTACTCAACTGGTCCTTTACCAGGAAGTTTGAGCTGAATATTTTTCCTTGCTTCATGTGTAATATCTATCCACTGAGACATTGGAGGTCTCGCTGCTACCGCAGGAATTCTATGCATGTAAGTTAGAATAACGCTTAATCTTCCTTTTGCACTGGTGGATGCGAATTGTGATTAATTCCTTAACATAAAGCAAAGGCAAAATGTCTAAGGTACGAATCCCGCTGAAACATGTTAAATAGTTGGTTTTCCTCCGCTTTCCACAGTTGCAGAGTGTTACGTAATGTTTGGACCCGTTCACAAAGCGTTCTCACGCAACTGCGCTTGTACATAGCCACATGGTTACTGTGATAGTTCAGATTCTGATCAGTGTGCATTGGTTTCCAGTAGACTTTTTTCAAGGCTTCACAAGCATAGCTTACCATCAGCACGTTCAAGAATGGAAACTGGCCACTGCTTTCCTCCTCTTTAGAGAAATGGATGCCAGTGAAAATGTTACTGACTGTTTGATGTGTTTCTCTTAGCCAGGAGCTTTTGGGGATGACAGAAGTATCGTCCAAGTAACGTACACAAACTTTGGGCTCCACTATCGGCAGTGGCTTTTGTTTCAGTGTTTGCATCATTGCTCCGGCTATCAGTCCAGAGATTGGCGATCCCATTAGTGTGATAGTTACCAGTTTGTACGTTTGGCCGTTGAGAGTGAAATGTGTAGTGAGACAGAAATTAAGGAACTACATCATTGTGCGGAATAATACTGTTTGAACCACAAGCTTATTTACAAACACACATCAATAGACTTAATGTGGTGCAGTGTGGAATCCCGCCAATCGTTTTGGTTGGTGAATATACACATACAGCAAAAGAGGTGATCAACGCCTTAGGGGTCCAGTGCCTACCTACTTTTCAAGGAGTACAAGCCTCAAGCCTGATTCTGTCATTCCGCCATCAGTTTTATCAGGCAACATATCCAAAGCAGAAACGGTGATGAAAAAACTGCTATCCTTGCATGCACACAGCTCTGCTGGAGAGTATAACACTCACTCCAAAGCATTTCAGGTTGCAGCCATGTACCTAGCCGAACCACTAGCTGAATTCTTTCAGCGCTGAGTGGACGAAAATATAGTTTCGTCAAAGTGGAAACGGGGTATTAGCACCCCTATTCACAAGGGAGGAAACCAATCTGATCTTGCCAATCACTGCACAGTAACGCTATCCCAGTGCGCACCAATGTCACAGAAGCAATTATCGCCGACTCACTGATGGGTATCTGGAAGGCTACGGCATCATTGAATTGGAGCAGCACGGGTTTCACCAACATCGATCATGTACCACGAACCTGCTGATCACATAAGGCAATTGGACCGAAGCTGTCGAAGTGGGGATAGAAATCAATGCTATCTTCTTGGGTTATTCAAAAGCGTTCGATTGTTTGGATCATCGTATTCTACTTCACAAAATTCAGCACTACGGCGTCGGAAATCCAGTGTTAAGACGGATCGGTAACTTTCACCGCGAACAGCAATCGGAGGTTAGGGTCCCGACATCCCAGTCCGACACAATACGAGGGGTTTCGGTGCTTGGACCTCGTTTGCTCTTAGTTTTCGCTACCGATCTACTGAGGATTATCACCTCAAATTTCTACCTTTCGCAGCCGACCTTAAGTTTCGGCGCGTGATTAGTGATTGGATGATCACGGAATCCTTCAGAGCGACCTCCATGACGCGTGAAATTAGTCGGTGAGGAAAGCCCTGCCATTCAATGTGTACAAATACCGCGTTTTTTACATCCACCATCGACTCGCCTACATCTACAAGTTGGGGGCGCACGATCTGCAGACAAGCTATCGGGAATGTGATCGGTGCGCTGATAGAGGACGACCTCGGTTGTCCCAGACAGTGAGAGTCTGCATCAAAAAATTCACCCAACATATTCGTCTCTTTCGGAGGGCATTTGGGAGTTCGGATTCATCCATCTTCTTTGATGCTCCATGCCTACGTGGGTCCAAACGTCGAATAGGCTATCCAGGCTTGGTAACGTTGGTAAAGCATGACCTCGCAGAACTCGAAATCACCCAACATCCAACCAGTGCCATCACTTAATCTCCTTGTCTGAATAATTCGCTCAATTGATTCATCGCACTTAAATGCTCAGTGTTACTTATATTGCTATTCGTCGTGATGTGAGCGTGATGAAAACCACCGAAAACAAGCTTGTTTACCTAACTGTTATTTGCTTCTGACGAATTTACAATTCCTTCTGTTATCAACAGAAGGGCCATGTTAAGTTCGTGCTTTTATACCCGTGATCGCAAGCGAGAGTTCAGGGCGGCATAACACATGCAGAAAAAATCAATTCATATTCAAGAGCAGGGTTAATTAAACCCTTTAACAGCGAAAACTGATTGTTCACATGTATTTGTGTGAACAGTCAGCGCCAGAGTTCTTCCATACCAAGTCCGTTCACGAAGTTAGCTAACAACTTAGTATGAAAATGCGTGAAGGTGTCAACTTGTATGTTTTCAAAATGTTCACTGTGTTCCAGGCGGCAGATTTGCAACTGTTTAGTACGCCGGTCGAAATGTTACACCACGCATAGTTTTAAACTGGCGTCATTTTAGGCTAACTCTGTCCGGACACTTAAGAGCGTGATACGGCTTTATCGTCCTGTGCACACGAATGAGAGCGAAGTATTTCGAAGAGGTGGACCTGCGTTTCAGTAGTAAAGAATCAGACCCACATGGTACTCATCACAATAAAAATGGATCACGATTTATACGATATGGGAAAACAGACGCTGTGGTCTGGTGGGGAGTTTCTGGAACCCATCAGTGATCTGGTCTCAAGTATCCGGGTGACACAATCCCTGGGTTTTCCCCAAGGTACACATGTTGGCAGCTGAGGCTAAGGGCAATTAATTGTCTCCCCTACTGATCGATACACTAGCAAACGGACAGTCGCCACTGACGTTTTTTGATGGGGATAGTTTCGACATTCAGTTGTTCCGAAAATAGCTAGACGACATGGCTGTGTGAAGTCAAAACTGTTTTAGATGTGTGACGAGTTAGTTTCAAGATAACCAAACTCCAAGTACGGTACGGTGGTGGCCTTTCGGCGACAGTTAGTTAGGCAAGCAGGCAGGGAGGCAAACATATGAGCGGTGAGGCAGATAGATAAACATCTCAGTGCCAATCAGTAGCATATGTTCGAGACCAAACGGTGAAGTCTCTGCAATCATCATAGGGTGTGGTGGTGTTGGTAGCGGCGGCGGCGGTAAGATACCACATCGAGCTTGAATTGTGACGGTGATCCCTTGTCACACCGGATATGCTAGTGGCGAATCGAATCGGCGAGCTGAAGGAACTTGGATCAACAGGCTGAAAGCTAACCGATTATCGCCAACACAAAACGTAAGATAGTCCATGACTGACGCGAACGAAGCTCAAGCATAGGACAGGAAAGAAGTAGCCAGAAGAAATGCGCCGCGTTGGGAGTGATGCAAACAGATACGAGATAGTTGAGAAAATATTCCCAGGGAAGACATTAGAAATGAGATGGGGCAAACAAGCTTGTTTTAAGTGGTTCATCTTCAGGACAATGTACTGGGGTGGGTGGGGTCAGCTCAAACACAAAAATCAAGTGCGATGAGCGAAGGGATCGAAATATTTAGCTACTATGTCTAAAGCATTAGTCTACCCAAGGTCAATTCAGGGGACATGGCATGATCGCCATGGTTAGTCGAGGCGATTTGTGGACAAGGCAACCAAATGGCCGGTACGAGTTTTTTTAGGGCGCATAGCTCCGAGACATATAAGGATTATTTTATTCATATATAACGGAGGTTGACCGAGGCCCATACTTTGATTTTTGGAGACCACACGTGACTTACCATTACGTATTCAGTCGGCAAAGTTTTCGCTTGGTAGTATGGTGTGTGTGAGGATATGGACAAGTTGGTTTGGGAAAAAGACTATTTAAATCGCTACTCCTCCAAATGATTTGGTTCAGTGCGGCTGAAATCCGATTTAGTCCAGGCATGTTGCCTTCACTCATACAGGCATGCTAAGGTTACTGATAGCAGTGGCAGGGTGGTGACCTGAAGATTTCTCCGAATGGTTGTCGTATGATGTGTAAAATATCATGCAATTATGATTTCATTTTGTATTCGGGATAATCAGGCTGTTCGTTTGTCGCGTGTTGACTACTTTTGTTTATCTACGCGTACATCCGGACGCGACCCAAAGAGTGCCTCGATGGTCCTGGTTCATTCTCGCTTGTATCATCCTAGCTAGATTTTGTTGAGTGCCAGTCGGATTGCATGTAGCGTGAACAAACGTATCCCCCACCTATTTTTACTTTTCTACATTTTGTTTACTTAACTAGAATTATATCAGTGATTTATGCTTACTTCCTAGAGTTCATTTAAATATTATCTCTACTGACCGAGACCTTAGTATCTGGTATGATGAGTTAGAGGTTTAAGCAGTCTGTTATGGTCAGACACGTATTGTGTTCACACTCTTTTTGACTCCTTGCGTTTGGGAAGCGGGTGTGGTAAGAAAATCCTCCGCCATCGAGAGGTATGTAAGAAGTGATTATTGAGGTGATAAATATTTTAATCAAGAAACGCTGCATACTTGCAAACAACGATCATCCAGATCGCGGCGACGGTTAGCGAAAAGTCTTGAAAACAACCTGACTCCAGTTTTAGGCTTTCATAGCAGTCGTAGGCTGTAGCCCCGTAGAGGATAGATGCGAAACGACTGTACTGTGATTGTCTAGATGTGTGATGACAAACTGAGTCCAACTGTTCAGTTGTTGCGGTGCTCACCTAGATGGGTAAGCTGATTGCAAAGGTCTCTTCCCCAATTGAGGTGACATTACCGGTGCGGTTTCGTGACGGTCAATACTCCTTTCCTTGTAGAGGCTTTTTGTGTCATGAAGCTGGATTTATATTGATTTATTACCTACTGTGCTTTACATGTGCTTGGGTAATTGAAAAAGGTTGCAGAAAATATTGCTGCCGCGTGGGTGGGACTTTCACATTCGGATTGGTAGAGGCAAAGAGACAGCATTCTGGTTCATGTCTAGTGTTCTGCTTATTGTCTTGCTAGCGAAACGTTATCTTCTGATATGCCTGAGTGGACGGAATATAGAATTGGTGTCGATGCGTATATTGAATGAGTTTGTTGTGGAAAACCAAGACTTGGGGAATACTCCGCTTTCGTGTTCCTACGTGGTTCAGTACCTTTTATCTGTTCAGGTGGATACTATGCCCTACTTCATCCAGGTGTGCAGAGTAACAGGGTTGCATAATGATTTCCACATGATCCTTTGTGTTCCAAAGCACTTGATGATAACACCCTTCCACACCGTCCAATGTGACGTTTATTACGATTGCTGCAATATGTTTCGTGCACATTTCGCTGCTGATACGTTTCTCATTTTCCTTTTGGGTTTGACGGCGTTTTCTCAAAGTGACAATTAGTTTGTGGGCTACTAGGATGTGTCGTTGCTGAAAGAAACTCGCTTTCATTTTTGACATGTTATTGTACGGTAAAACGACCGGTTTAATCTGTGGCATCGGCTCACTGTTTGCGAGCTTGTGAGTTAAATAACTGCGAATGAAAATGCGTAGGTTTCATTACTTACAAACGACCCGAAGAGGTGCTTCTCTTCTGGCGACTCTACAGTACAGCCGTACCATTTTATTCTGAGAGACAGGCTAGGTACGCAGCTCGTTTTTTGGCATTTCCAATGGTTACTGTTGATATTCAGAATTTAGTGTGTGTGTTTGCATATTCTGCAAACCACTGTTTTAGTTCAGGTGCATTGTTTCGGTCACAAATACGTCCAAGTAAGGAAGTTTGTTTCTTGACTCCGATTTCATCTCTAACTGGATATCATCCATGGCATTGCTGAGCTGGTTTATAACTGCTGAGTACAATTGAGTAACACAAACGTTTATCCAGTGTGGTGCACTTACATTTTCTGGGTTTGCTTGTAATTGTATCGAAGTATACCAGACAGTACATGCTTTTGCTGTATTGGCATGTTACACCATGGTGTGAAGGGGTTGTTTGGCTTGCCATTTGATTAGGAAATAAGGTAGTTGTAGCGACCCATTTTATGGATTTGAAGAAAATAGACCTCATTGTTAAGCTATAACCTGACTAAATACGCCAATATTTTACAAGAACGTGAAAAATCAGTAACCTTAGTAAACAGTTGAGACATTGGCATGTTCAACGAGTTGTGGAAGTTAGTGACAGACCTCTCGCCAGCAGTCTAGATCGCATGTTTAGTGCGAAGTAGCAAAATGGTTTGTTAGCATTAGATGAGCTTTATGCAACTCCGGAGATTTCCCAGATGCTTTACATAGAAGCTTACCAGTGGGGCAAGCTAGTTTAAAGAATCCAAAAATACATAATTTATACTTATCGCATCATCGGGAGCATAACATCCCATATATATATATATATATATATATATATATATATATATATATATCGGTCAGAAGGACACCGTTCATGCTCTTTTCATTATCCCACTCTTTTCCACAGGAGTTTACTGACGAGATGGCCGTTCTAAGGCACCAGGTTCAGTCTCACAAATTGCTGGAAAGTCCAAGCAACAGCATTCTCCAACCCTTGGACATCGTTCCTGAGCTCTCTGCCACACGTCACTGTTCAAAACCGGCGTATATATGATCATTTCGTGCAAAGCTAGTTGAGAAATGATAACCTAATGGCAGTGTGCCGATGTTATCGCTGTAAAAATGTTTAAATGTGAACGGTTCATCTTGCAGATCTATTTGCTTTTTCCCTTTAGTCCATATGAAGCAGTAACTTACTGCGCTTCGAGCTGGACATATACAGCAATATCTGCTCTGTTACAAATCGGGTGTCATTGTAGACAGACCTCCCGTTTCTTATAATCCATATTTTTTGCAGTCACTTTGCTCCGTGGTGATGAAGATTGAAACGTATCATTACGAAAGTCAAAGGCAGTTCAGGTGGAGATCAAAATTTACTGTTCATGTAAACTAGAATCCTTCGTGTCCCATACCCGCTTGAAGCGCTATTCCATCGTAGCAGCTCTTTACTGGCAAGTTCTCGCTACCTGTTCTACGCCATATGCCCAAATTCATTGAGCTGTATGCACGGCTCATCCGCTGAACTCGTTCCAACCACACCTGTCCTGCCTTGAACAATGCTGAACTTGATTTATGCTATCGTACAATTGTGGTCAGTTCGCGTGGGTGGTGTCTTTTTGGCTTCATGATACCAGTTACGTTACAATCACAGAGGTCAGATGGTTAAGTGGGCGATTGACTACCACCTGGATGCATGTCAGTCTCATTTTTTGGATACTCATGAGGAGACGGAAATATTTAAGTCTCCTCGCAAAGTATCCAAACCAGGTAAGCTTCCGCATATCAGGAAAAACACTAGACGACCGTTTTAGCGTGTTAGGTCTGGTCAGTAATGCGCATCTATTGGATCCATCAGAACCCGAACTCACTAGTGACTTGCACCGGCAGTCAGGAGTTTATGTCACTGAGCACTGGGCGACAGCGGCGGACCATCATGATTAGAAAGCTGACAGTCAATGTGATCGGCACAACGCTGAGTCAACAAATGCATCCAATCAAACGCGTTCTTCTTACGAACCATAACCAGAAAACTGAGAAAGTTCAACTACGGCAAACTTCAACATTCATTCGTTCTGACCAAGTCATAGTTGCCTTCCCGCCTTTTATTCCCACCATACTGCAAGGTGTAATAGTCCAGAAGTAAGGCCAGACCAGTAAGGCCAGACCAAAGAATTACGTGAAAATTGATTCCGGCGACGTAGCAGGGTAATATGGAGGTTTAACACAAAATCAAGAGCCCGGAAAGAACACAGCGGCAGGCAGCCAGTACGAATTACGGAAAACATAGGTCGAAATCGTTCAGATGGAACAGGACATGAACACATCGAAGTTAGAAACATACGACACAGTTAAACAGACGAGTATGTTTGTGAGATGACAGCAAGAAAAAACTGGGTTAAAAGATAGGAAATAGCACACACACACACACACACATTATACACATTAGTTAGAGGTAGGAAACACATCAGCTACTGTGCCGCAATACCTAAAAGAAAAGGGAATAAAGTGCAATAGGTGCAAGCCAGCTGAGCTACCGGCAACGGATGGGCATCGTTCCGGTAAGCTACCAGCCGGCTACTATGTAGCAAAAAATACCATGCAAAATTATGTAAGTCTAAATAGTGAGATCGTGATTGGAGGGGGAAGCTAAGAGGGATGGGGTGGGACAAAGAAACTCACAGTATGAATGCCACTGAGATCGGCTCCTAGCCATATCAACAAGTGTATCCAGCCAAATGTGTTCATTGTCTTTCGGACCCCAACCAGGGGTCCGAGACGCTCCAACCAAGGCCAGCTCCGAAGTGAGGGCCTTCATTTCTCTCGACCAAGTCATAGCTTGGCCACCCCTCCTCTTCTTCCATCCACACCTCCGGCGCGCAAACAACGCACATCGCGTGAGTAGGTGGGCTGGCAGGCGTAACAAGTGGCCTAATCATCGGAGCCTGGTGAGTGAAATAACGGTGCTGAGCGGATCATTTCCTTTTCCTGTGCCATAAACAAGGCGTCGAACACGCTCGTTGCTCACGCGGTGTTCCCACCAAATGTGAGCTAAATTGCGAAGGCACGGTGATCGAACCTAACTAGTCTCTTCAGGTCCGCTGCTTTAAGGGCCAAGTTTCACAACCGTACAGTAGGGTCGAGGTTACCGCTGCATTGTACACACTATCCTTCATGACGAGAGATGTCGCACCGGCGCCATAAATGGCGAAGGTAAGCAAAAGGGCACCGAGCTTTTGCTATACGGTTCGCGATCTCATCTTCAATCCCATGGGCGCTGATACAACTTCCTAGGTAGTTGAATTTTTGAACGATTTCTAACTGATCCCCACCAAGGGTCAGCGAAGGAGGCGGTCCAGGCCAATCTCGGAAGAAGGCTTTGCACTTCGAGGGTGCGAAGCAAAGCCCGAAGTGACGGAAAGCTAGCGCTAATCTGTCCAGTGCCGCTTGGCACGTCTGGGAGCTGTCACAGATTAGGACAATATCACCAGCATACTCCAAGTAAACAAGTCGTTCTTCTTGGAGCAGATCCACACCTTCTAAGTCGTATCCTGGGAACCCGATTTCCATGACCTCGTCAATAGCGAAATTGAAGAGGAAAGGTGACAGCGGACATTTCTGTCTCACACCGATGGAGATATTAAAGGGCGACGACAGCTTGCCGTAAGCCCTCACTCTGCCCGAAATACGCGTGTATAATGCTCGGATAATATTTACATATTTCTCCGGTACACCTTTCCTGAGTAGACAGTCCCAAAGTGCACGTCTATCCACGGAATCGAATGCACCTTTGATATCGGGGAACACGACAACGGCGGGCCGGCAATGTGTGTGATGGTGCTGCAACAACTGACGCAAGGTGGAGATGTGGTCAATGCAGCTACGACCTCGACGAAATCCAGCTTGCTCTTCACGAATCTGGCTTTCACGAGTGCCAGTCAGTCTGTGAAGGATGACAGAGGCAAGCAATTTGGCGGCTATGGAGATCAGACTGATTCCTCTATGGTTGCCGCATTCCGATCGTGAGCCTCCCTTGAAAATTGGGACTATGACGGAGCGGCTCCAATCGGTTGGGACAGTTTCCTGCTCCCACAGTCTCACTAGTAACGCGTGTAAATCATCCACAAGAGCAGATCCCCCGAATTTGAAGAGGGCTGGAGGAAGGTCGTCAGGTCCCGCGGCTTTATTTAACTTCAACAGTGCGAGCTCTCGTTTGACTTCAACGGGAACTAGCACCGAAAATGGTAGGCACAGGGGGATGAACAAGGGGAATGCACTACAATACACCCGGCGCGAAAGACGCGTCACCGGGTAGGTACGCTGGTGTGCGAAACCCGTGGCGAAGCATTCGGAGCCTCGTGAGTGCAACAGCGGTGATAAGCGGTCCATTTCCCATAAAAACACCGAATAAGCGTATCGTTCACACGGTATTCCTGACAAACATGAGTTAAATTGCGAAATCAGAAAGGGCTGCAGGTAGTAAGCCTCTTTAGGTCTGTCGATCTGAGGGGCCAGGTTTCGCAAACGTACAGCAGGGTTGGAGGCATAAATATTTGAAAATTCCGCTCTTCAGGGTGAGTGATATCGCGCCGGTGCCATAAGTGGCGGAGGTAGACAAAAGTGCACTGAGCTTACGCAATACGTTTCATGACCTCATTTTCTATTCCACAGGTGATAATATACCTGCCCAGAGACTTAGCTTGCCGTACGACTTCTAACTAATCGCCACTAAGGGTTATTGGAAGTGTGGGTTCTTGCCACTCTTGGCGGAGTTAGCATTTCTAGAGTGCAAAGCACAGTCCAAAACGAGTGACAAACAGAGCTAATTTGACCAGTGTTTCCTGGCATATTTAGGAGCCGTCAGAGATGAGGGCAATGTCCTCGGCGCACTGTAAGTCAAGAAATCGACCACCTGGAAGCACTTCACACCTTGAAGGTCAAGCCCAATGAACGCAGTTTCCATGACTTCGCTAATGGTGAAGTTAAAAAGGAAAGGTGACTGCGGGTAACCTAGTCCCACACCGCTGGAGATATTGTAAGGTAGCGATAGCTTGCCATAAACTCTCTCTGTCCGAACTACGCGCGTAGTGCTCTAATGACATTTTCGTCTATCGGGCACGCCTTTCCTAGGCAGACATTCCCAAGGAGCACACCGATGCCGAGAAATACGACTACGGTGAGTCACCAATATATTTGGCAGTGTTCCAACAACTGACGCAATATGAAGAGGTGGTCAAGACCGAAGAAGCCCAGCTTGTTCCTCGCGATGCTGGCTTTCAGGAGCCAGTCAGTCTATGGAGAACGACAAAGGCAAGCGACTCAGAAGCAATTGGGCTCAGACTGATGCATATATGATTTCTGTATTCCAAAGTGAGCGTCCTTTAAAAATCAGGACAGCAACAGAGGCTTGTCTATTGGAACAATCTCCGACTCTCACAGCACCTCATTAAAATGTACTGACTAGTTTCACAGTGCGTTATTTTGTGTGCGGTTAATCAGACTCCATGGGTTTCCTCGGAATCCCATATATACAGTTCGGTGTTCCTTTGTTATTAAAAAGTAACACTTTGTTACCATCGTTTCTTTCTTTCCATCTTCTGGCACCCGAATCCAACCGTTTTTTCTTATACGACTGGCGAGTTATGTCCGGTCAGGTTTTTATATTTTTTACCCAGGTTTGTACTCCTTTGTACTCAGCGCTAAGATGACTGCAGCTACAACCACCTCGCTAGTCGTCAACACCTTGAAGCAAAATCATTCCATTTGCCTTCTCCGGATTACCACTCTCTTTACCATGTACCGGAATTCACTGTGGAGTCTACCAAATATCAAGCATTATCCAACGCTACCTTGTCACATACCAATGTCATCTCAACAGTAGGGTAAACCTTCAAGAGGATGCTCTACTATTCACATTATCTGTATTATCATACAATTTTTGTATCCTGGACCTGATTTCCGATTAGCTGGCATCATGCTAAAGTGCATGCGATGTATAACTCGCCAGTGGGATGCATACAGAAGAATTCACACTTTTTATTTGATTCATCGCAATTA